GAGAGAGGCTGACACACACACACACACACACACACACACACACACACACACACACACACACACACACACAGTCGTTCAGACTACCACCACTAAATGTACACAAGGTCTATCTGAAAGAAAACTCAGTGAGCCATTTAATCAAGTACACCACCTGACAAGATCTCTATTCTCAATGGCACCTTCTTAAAGAGAAGTAATTCATACATTAGAACAAGTACATGAAGCTGAATCTGATCGCTTCCCTGAAACTGATGACACATCTGCAGTGAGCTCAGCTTCATCATGCTCTCATGCTACATCACAACGCCACATTCCTGCCACTGGATGAAGTCAGAGCATAGAGATCCAGTATAATGTTGTTAATAATGAGTGTGTATACATATGGGTGTTTATATGAAGGGTTAAAAAGTAGATTGCTAAAGTAGCCAGCAGACATACAGCTGGCTTCAAATGACCTCTCACTGAAGCTGAGTGTGTGTGTGTGTGTGTGTGTGTGTGTGTGTGTGTGTGTGAGAGAAAGACAGACACCATGAAAAAAGAAATCAGACTCACTGATTAAGACATATAACCTTATCATTACATCTCAAATAATGTCTTCCAGTCAACATGACAAATTATCAAGTCACACAACAATTCTTATTATTATGATACCTACAGTATAGGTTTATAGTAATATTTATGTACAGCTTTTTTTTTAACTATCAACATGGCCAGTTTTAAAATAATTTAATGCCTTAATTTTTGTTGAGTCCAGCACATTATAAATTGTGATATCTAAACTAAATCAGCATGGCTCATGAATATTAATCAGGTAACATAATGTTTGGCAAGCAGTCATCTTCACTGAGGAAAGTGAGTGCTAGGACTAATGGTGTCTTCAAGTCATGAAGTTCATATTTACGAGTTGGGAAGTCATAATTACGGCACCAGGCGCATTAAGTCAGTTTGGTCGGTGCAAAATGGCAATGTAGCTTTTCTACAAAAAAACTGCAAGATTTTTGAACTCTACATCAATTGACACATTTTTATGTTTCTATTCAATTCATAAAGGACTTCTGCAAAGATTTTTAGAAGTTGCAAAGATTATTGGAGTATGTTATACAAGAAAATACTATTTCAGTTTTTCTACTTTAAAATGTCACATTCGGTGCATTGTTACTTGCTTTATCTTTTAAATTTAAATTTGCCAGCCATTTGTGAGTGAAAACTGTTTCTACACCACCATTTTTTTCAGTGTATTTACACACTCTAGATCATCAGATCATGATGCCCTACAATCTGTGAATTATCATAATGTGTCAAATGCGTCAGATTTACATAGTCTTCTCATATCCATATGAGATACGCGTGTGAAACAAACTGCGGGGATCATAAGCTGATCAAAAAATAAAACCAGTCGTACCTGCCAATCAGTAGGTTAAAACCTAATCATACAGTACGTGCTGTAATGTACAAATGTTAACCACAACTTATTACTGTCACTCTCACTAATCTTTCACTTAGTTTGCCTGTTGTTCCAGGTCACTGAGATGAATTCAGCTGATGTTTTGATTTGAAATCACGTGCAGTGTAATGGGCATGGATCAAGCGGGCCTGTTTTGCATCATGGCATGGCAGTGGAGAGTCTGGAAGTGATTATGCCACAGGGTACGGAACAATGGCTGGCTGTTCACCTTGATGAGCTGGTTTGGACAGTACGCTGATACAAACAAGCAACGTGGACAGAAAAAGTCTGTTAGGAGGGTCCTGTTTTACAGGTGGTGGACGGGTCTGTGTGTGCGCAAAGAGGTTTGTGTAGCTTGGCGTCTAAAGGAGAACCTTCTGGCATGCCAAGAAAAGCAAACAAAAAGCAGATCGCATGGACTTGAATTTCGCAACATGACACTGTTCTTTGTGGCTTAACAGTGACTGTGGAAATCTGCTCAGAGGATCAGTGAGCATGATTCCCGAGTGGTCCGGTGTTTCCAAGTCAGCATTCCAGACCTCAGCCGCATGCACTGAGAGGTCCGCAACAGCACTAAAGTGCACTTTACCGCTCATAAACACTGGAATGACTGCTGCACTACTGGGGGTGGTGACAGAGCAGTAATTTTTTAACTCCTACATCTAAATACGCAGCCTGCTGCTTTATAAACACAGTAGCATTGAAACAACACCATGTAAATATTGACAGGCAGAATCCCACACTTTCTGACCAATGAATTGCCATTACTTTTATAGTCACCGGTTATTAGACAATAAAGATTTTAAAAATCATTTTATAGAGATTTAACTCACAAAGAACAATTTCGTAGCAATTTTCTTGAGCGGCACATTACTTGATAGCCTAAATGTCTTGATAAATAAATGTTCATGACGTTTATACTTTTATACATAACTGATTTTGGTCATTTTCATGACTTTTCCAGGCCTGGAAATCACAATTTTAAAATTCCCTGATATTTCCAAGACTGTGGGAACCCTGAATGTGTAACGGGTCTTGAGTTAGGCCAGATATACAGGAATGAATTGGTTTTATTGTTTAAAGTAGAGCTGTGTGTAAATCATGTGCAAATCAGAAAGTGCGTCAGTAGTTAATTATAAGAGTCTGATTATTTCAAAACCAGGGTCAGCTCTCCAGCTGTTTGCAGTAGAGCTGATTAAAATTGTGTAAATCGGGTGCAAATCAGAAACTGTATCAGATGATATGAGCCAAAGTTACAATTAATTACTATAGTTACTATCTCTCTCAAAATGTGAAGACCTGATTTCTCACACTATTGACCGATGTCTTCTCCAGTCATTTATGACTACTGGATGATGTTTTTTTGTTCGTTTGTTTGTGTGTGTGTGTTTAATTTTTTAAAATCCATTACTTCTTGTTATTGCTATTGTAAGTCATAATTTTAACATGAAACATGGGCACTGTAATGTTAAGCATTCTTACTCAGTCTGGTTTATGGTTTCACACCTGATCTGTCACTGAAATAAGCTGGTCTTTTCCTTTAAACATCAGACTTTGAACCTCAAATCACATAAAGCCTCCCCCCATTAACACTGACCACAGACTTGAATATACACTGACCACCTTTTAAACAATAGACGCGGATATGGGCTAGTTTGTACATATAGCGTGACCTGGAAACAAAACTAATACAGACAGTAAAGCTCAGATTTCTGAGGTTGTGTGAGAGAAACCGACGGGGGGTTTGCGAAAAGACAAGAGAAAATAAGTAAACAATGACACCGAAATAAAGCCGTTACAAGTGGTCAGTCTGACAGGAACGACGGACGATACAAATACAAAGGGGTGCATATCGTGCCTTACCCGAAATCATCGTCCATGGATTTGAAGAAAAATTTGTAGTTGGGTTTATTGAGGACATTTTTGAAGTCGGCGAGCGTTACGTTTTCAGCGGGAATGGGTAGTTTGATGAGGTAGGGAGTCTCCTGCTCGTCGAGGTGATAGATGATCTTGGTCTCCGCCATAGCGGGCCGCTGCTGAGGGACAGGCCGCGCACATCAGCCCCACAGCGGCTCGCGCTCCGCGCTTCCACCGCGCCTCTGTCCAGCCGCAGCCTCTGCGCGCTCTCTTCAGTCAGCGACGATAGAACCCAGGAACAGAGTATCCTTGCGGTCGTATGTAATACAGATCTATCTAATAGTAGAATATATTAGTATAATAGATGGTCCTCGGCGTTTTCTTTCCAAAAAGAATCGTGCAGGTCGGTCTTCTCTGGGCTCCCTATGAATACTGTTGCTTTTCCCTCTTCTCTGTCCTTTGGAAACAACTCTGTGAGATAGCCCCTCCTATCGATTCACCACTGCGCTCCCTCTACAGGACGAGTTATACAAATATTACGCTGGTCTTTGGCTGCTATAGTTATAAATGTACTTATCTGATCTCAGGATAAGGGAAAGACGCATCTCAATTACGCAAGGAGGCGTTAAGTCGTGTTGTTGCATATTAATCACTCAATAGAACAACTCGACCTTTTTGACTGCATGCAGACTGAATAGATTTCTGAATTATTTTCAATGTCCTTAAATGTTTTTTTTGGGTTGTGAGGTGGTAGTAACCCAGCAAATTTGCACCTCATTGCTGTAACTTACCTGAGGAGGAGATACTGAGTAATGATTAGTTCGCCGATAACGCCCTCTAGAGGATGAAACGGCTCCTGTGCAGCTGTTGAACTCTGGTGACCTCTGGAGGTGCACAAGATAACATTGATCAAAAATATTTTTCTTTAAACTATATCAAAGTTGGCATGCCTTTAATGGGGTAAATCAAGGGTGGAGTGGGACTCATTTTTTATCCCTGGAGTTTCATGCCTTAGTTCACGACTGACTATAGGCCTATTAAAATAATGTAATTAAAACCTCAGTATATAGGCCTACCGTCTGCAATAGTGAACTGTTCCCTACAGCCTGGTAATCCATTGTATTTTTGCTCACATATCTTCAACAACTGACGTTTTTTCAGCAAGGTGCTAAAACACTGTCCTCTGTCGGGGGAGTCAAACGATAATTACGCCATCATTAGGGTTGCCAATTAACTTCAGAAATGGAAAATAAGGGACCATTGTGATTCTTTATATTCTGAAAATAAGGAACAGAATAAGGGAAGCTCAAAATATTTGTACTGTACCATAATGTCTGCCTAAAAGGTTTTCAGAAATAATCACATTTGTTTTGCTTAACCTATTTATGTGCAATTATTCTACAAATAATTTTAATGTCATACAAAAAAAAGTCACCGGCCTGAGTTAATTGTACCATTCTAGAATTGTGACTGAGCAAGTAGTGTAGCAATTTAGGAGGTGAAAATACTGTGAAATTACATACATACAAAAGGCATGAAATTTGAAAGCATAACAACTGAATGTCAATGAAACATCAGTCAGTAAAGCATTTAAATTTGGCTATTTTTTGAACTAACATTTTATTGCAACCATATAGCCTACGAATGAATGAAAATGCATATTTTTCAATTAAAGAAAACAGTGTGGTAAAAAACTTAACTACTTCTGGTCCTTGGATTTGTGGTCCAATTTTAAGAATTTGCTAGAAGTTAATTTTTTAAAATGTAGCCTATTTTTTTTTCTCTGACAGAATTAACTATTTTTTATTATTAATTTGTTTGTATTATTAATTGATATAATCTATTTTTTTAAACATTAAGATGCATTTACATTATAATGACAAGCCCCCTCCCTTGTAAAATACTGTAACGTATTTATAGTCTCCACTGTTGTGTAACAGTCCTATAATAGGTTTTTAGTAGTGCTGTCAAACGATTAATCGCGATTAATCGCGGTTAATCACATCCAAAACAAACGTTTTTGTTTACATAACATATGTGTGTGTACTGTGTATATTTATTATGTATATATAAAGACACACACATACAGCATATATTTAGAAAATATTTACATGTATATATTTATATTCATATAAATGATATCGGGTCATTCTATGGAAATGCCCATTTTTCTGTCCCTAGCATTTGCAGAAATATTACACTTGAAAAACACTTTAGGGTTATAATTTTTTTTTATATTTTAAAATAAAACAATGTGTTATTTGAACAATTACACCTTCTTGAACTATCAATGTGGCAATATTTGTTTTTAATTAATTATAAAGAATTCCAAGCACCACAATACTGCTCATCCCCACAGCCATGTACAGAGGGAAAGTGCTTTATTTTGAGGTCAAAATACAAAAAAATACATCATTGTATTTTTTCTACCATTGAAAATACAATGATGTATTCATAACTATCAAATAGGCTATATGATATAAATGACATAAAAAAACAAAATGCCAAATAAATATGATAAAATATGTAATGAAAGTAGTGGTCCCCTGGAGTTGTGTCACTGGTGTTACCGTTTAACAAAAATCTTTTATTTTGAAATAAAAATCACACTGATGACATCACTTGACTTCCTTCCTCCTATTTCCTGAAGATCTATGAAAAAAGGCCCATGTGAAGTCCACTGTCTCTTTTCAGTTATCAGAAATTTTCTCATTTATCTCATGATTTCATATGAAGCTTTTAGTGGAAGTCACTGGTATGACCTAGGTTATTGTTAGGGAATTGTAAAAAAACTAGAATACAAATGGATTAAACTACTCAATTTAGTGAGTATACCATGACTGACAACATGTGGTTTGATACCTTGCAGCAGACATTTTGTAAAATGCATTTTTCATGAAAATTGTCACTGGTGTTACCTTCCTTATGGGTAGCACCGGTGAAGATCAGTTTATGTTTATGCTCTTTTACTATGTATGTGTCAATGGTGTTTCATTTCGTCACTGGTGTTACTTTTTTTTCTGTCACATTACATAAAATATGTCACGTGACATGATAATAATTTTACATCCATTGAATTCTGCTTCACCCAAGAGTTAAGATTTAAAGGATTGCATCATTACTTGTTTATAACTGTTTTTACAAATATTTTCATTGTTATAGCAAATACATTGTTGCGCAAATGAACGAACGTCATTCAATCACACTTTTAACAAACCTGATTAAAATAAAACAATCTCCATCTCCTTACTTGTTGCATTATCATTATTGTTCTGTAACTCTGACTACATGTACTAAAA